AAAAAAAAAAAAAAAAAGAAAACCTCAACTGCAGAAGACCAGAGGAAGTATTACAAAAAGCATTTCGGCTACAGATTGACCTCAAAAGCATTGAGGTCAAACTTGTATAAAAAACATAAGCCCAGATCATTCAAAAAAGGAATAACCTGTTTATAAAAATACTTGTATTAAAAGGAATACAACAGTCTCAAAATCAGATCATAAAATACATTCACTAGAAAATGAAAAGCCCTCAATTTTCTTTCCATTTTCCATGAACACCACACTTCAGTTTTGTGCACTGTGTCTGACATACAGATTCAAACATTAAAATCGCTCAAAACAAGGAAAGGTACCTGGGCTTGGGCCAGGGGCATGGGCAGGGGGGAAGAAGAGTCAGCTTTTACCTGACTTCCCAGAAAAGACATTTATTTCTTACTAAAATTTTAAAAATATATTTCCTAGAATATCAGTAGATTTGACGGAAACATTCAACATACTGCGGCAACTTAAAATATTAGAACAACTACTCAACTGCTGAGTTGGCAAACTTGAATTACTGAAAGTAACTGGTATATAAAGCTTTATAGGCTTATTACAATCATCTATAATTCACAAAGTACACAAACTTTGTTCAACTATATATTTACCATGTCCTACAGTTCATGAGCTGCAAACATGGTTGCATAGACAATGCAATCAATGAATGAGCAAAATATTTGAGTGACTTCTGGCACAACCAACCACAGGAACTGGTTGTTCCACAATTTTTCACAAACACATTTAAAGTGTAGTTTGATTAGCATAATCAAGTTCCAAGATATGAAATACTAAATTTAAACATGACATTCCCTATCTGGATAAAGTTAAGTTATGCCTTTGGTCAACATTTGCATAATTTGTGATGCAGTTGAATCTGGCTCTCAAGACACTGTATTTACCTGTGCTAGCTTCCTCTGCTATATGGATATCTTCAGCTTGCACAGCTTGATCCAACATCTCAACAAAACGTTCCTGAATTTCTCCAGCGGCCTCGTCACGAAACTTATAATCACTGAGCATCACACTGGATCCAGCAACAGGGACAAATAGTCTCTGAGGTAAAACACGATATTCCCTCTCAAAATCTAGAAGTGGGAAAAAAAATACAATCTAAATAGAGTCTTTGCTAATTACAATTCCTCATTAACCTCTGCCATCAGACAGTTACTCCAAAATAATTCCTCAAGGTTTTCCATGTAATTAATAAACATAGCTTGTTTACGTTACCATTTCATGAAAGTTTTGGCTGCCATTATTCTGATTTATGCTTTTACATTACCTTCTCCAGAAACAGACAAGAGACCTCCAAAACAGACCATGAAATGCTAAATACATCTTTTATCATGTTTAGAATGACTGGCAAAAGCTGCAGATAAGAGTGCACACCAAGACCCATTATTTCAGCACCAGGGAGGACTGCAGTCAGTGGGCTGTTTTATGTCACACTTAGGACTATGGACTATGAGTGCCACCTAAAGAGGAAAATAAAAACTGCAGGCAATTGAAAATACCAAGATCACAACAGGATTGAGTTTGGACCAAGTCAGCTAAAAGCAGTATTTAGAAGGCTTTTGTATTACACTGTGTATTAACACCATTAAAAAATGGTTATCCTAAAGCAAATTATGATCCTGCAGACAATTTGTTCCCTATACTATCACCCAGCTTCCATTTCTATTTTTTCTTTTCTATTTTTACCAAAAGCACCACAAAAGATCCACCTTTCCAAAAGCTTTCCTTACACAAGGTATACAAATTGACTTTTCATCTAACTAGTTATACACATACCTCCAACTTTCCCTTAAGTTTAATATGAGCAAGATAAGAAGTTTTATTTTCATGAAATCAATTGGCATTGCATCCTAGCCTTCACATGGTGTTCTTAAAACCAAGCTAATGCAATCCAGCAATTCATGATGCTGAAAATGAATGATCCATTTAAATGACAACACACACGTAAAACAATGTGATTAGATTAAGAAAAAAACAGAGACAACAGATTAAATATTTGTACAGCTAGTTAGAAAAACAGATTTTGAATATTTGTTCATGCCAGTCATATATACAATGTTATATTTAATATAACAGAGATGAATTATTAGGCTTTGGAGTTTGTCAGATCACATTCACCATACAGCTGACAATTCAAAGCCCCTGTTCAACTGATTCTTATAGTCTTTCTAAGTTCTAGCACTCCCTTAATTGATTTTTTTTTTTTTGTAAATATAAGTCACAGGTAGAAATTCAGCAACAAGATTTTAATTACAGGAAAGCCAGTCACTGAGAAATAAGCTAAAAGTATACTTTGTGGTCAGAATTTTGAACAAAGAGTTTGCATGAAAACTATGATACCAAGGAACATATCTAAACCTGACTAGACTTGGCACGAACCAAAAATGTTCGGTATGCTGGATTTCAGCATGCTAGCAAAATTTCCTGAAAGAACCAAAATGTACTGCATATATGATAACTTGCTTTCTCTTCAAGTTCCTACTTTTTTTGTCAAGTCCTTCATTTATAATGAGATCTTCAAACAGTATTTCACAACGATCACTTAGTGTGTTTATTATGTCTCTTTTCAAAGCCTGGAAAGACAAAGCAAGAATATAAGCAAAGTAAAAACCATCCAAAGTCCTTTTGATTATTAAAAGAACAAAAGTAATCCTTAATAGGCTAAACCCATTTTCAAAAGATATTCAGAAGAAAAAAAGGACTTAAAGACAAAAGCTAGCCTCAAAAAGATTAATGAATAACAAAAAAAACAGAGGAAATGTTTACTATTGTTAGAGTAGCAACATCTGGACATTATAATACGAAAATTTGCAAGGCACTGACTCAGTAAGGTACAAAATCACTTAAATAAAACTGCCTCATGTACAAAAACATGGTTTGCAGGATTTTCTTAATTTTAGGATGATTTATAACGCCCTCATAACTTTGAATATTGATATAACCATCAACAGACATTAACCTTAGTGGTAGAAAGCAGTATCTGCTAGAACTGTGAAAAGGAACAGAAGATACGACACAGAAGTGAATACTAAAACATTCCATATGTTCAAGGCAGAAATTATTTTGATCCCTGTTTATATCATGTCATTCTGACAAAAAATAAATAAAAAAAAATAAAAAAAATAAAAACACTAGCGTGACAAATTTGTTTTCAGAAATGTGTCCAAGTCTCTAGTGAGAACTTGTTCTCTACCTGAACAGCTTCTTTAACTTTTGGCTTGCTGTTATGGATGTAGGCTCTGCATTTCACAGCACCTTTGAGATTTATGGAACCACTGCAGACCTGGACTGTAGCTGTTGATCTATGGCTCGAAACCTGGGACTGAAAGACAGGCATGTTTCAGTTTATCTTGTTACGTAGGTGCTCACAGCACAGCTAACAAACATCAAAATGTACAGTAAATGTTAAGGTGTTTACATGTAATCTCATATACATACACCCAGTATTACTGTCTGGTATCTTTTAAAGTCTTTGAAGTTCATATGCTTAGTGTATAATGCATAAGCTCAGAATGTCTTGAAAGTCATACAGTCACTAATAAATCTAAATCTGGTCATACAAAGCACTAATTACCCAAATGAATAGTGCACTACATGTAGTATTCTACGAAACCTCAAAATGCAGTGAATTTTTTTTGCAGCAAAGAAGACAAAAGATACCCCAACCTCACTAGGATTCTAATATGAGAAGGATATATTCAATGATTAACAAGAAAACACCACGCCTATTTTTAAGGCTAAAGACAACTATTGCTTTATATCATTTTAAAACAGAAGGAAAGCAGGGACAAGTTCTGCATGAAACACACCAACTACTTAGCATAAAAAGCTTTCCTTTCATGTGAGGCTATTAACTATTGCAAGAGTATAACAGAAACAATGACCTGCTCTTCAAGGTTTAAAGGCTTTTTAGGTATTTCTGAAAGATACAAGTTATTCAATAAAAATGTGGAGACTCCAGGATCTAACAAACTAGGATGACCCATGTTGTATAGAAAGCCTAGAAACCAAAGCCTAGATACATTTTGAATTTGGGACCTAGGCTGCAGCACCTAATTCAGGGACTGACTCTCCATAACCTCCCTTGCTATTAAAGATGCAACTCCTGATACAGACCTGAAAGCTCTGAATTATGATTCAGCCTACAGGATCTGTATGTTAGTCCAAAATCAGTGATTGATCTTCTAATGAAAGTATCCAGGTAGGTATCCATACCCAGTCATGACACATCAAGGCACAGGCTTCATGAACTTCATCATGATTGATTGAAACCAACACACCCATGTAGGTTCAGTGCCCTGCCATCAAATTTAGTAGTTAAATCTACCCTAACACAAAAACATGCAGATAGGAAAGACATGGAACCATCCAGTCAGTTTCACAGTCAATATCCAGGGAGAAAAATCTTAGAAGAAAGTAAATTTGATTTCTAGACAGTACTTTATATATTCTCTTATTTTCTTATTCTAAACAGGTAACAGAGGTTACAAGTTAAAAACAACAAAATACTTACCAGTTGTGTAAGAACTTTGACATCAGAGAAGTGAGTGCTGGACTGAGTACTTCCTCTTAACTTTTTCTAAGAGAAAATAAATGTGACATATGAAAGATGAAAACCTGTCCAAATCCAACATGTCAAGGTATTTTACAGTCACTCTCCCTATGGTTTAAAATGTGTCCTAAGTTCTAGTTTTTAAGGGAGAAAAATGACAATTGGAAAGCACCCATGAGAATAAGGAGTAACACTAAAAATAGAGATTAATGCAGCAGTCAAACAAGGCTTAATCCTGATTTGTGCTCTTCAGCGAAGCACACTTCATAGAGCCAATTAGATAAACAAATATTGTACAAAAGACCTTCAGTGCCTCTTATCAGGCTAGAGATTCTGAACTGCCCATATTACTCACCAGACCTTCCACGAGTTCTGTATCGTTATCTTTGACTTGTCCATTGATCAGAAATACACTGTCCTCTATCTGTTTTGACCATCGATTTAAGCCATTCTTAAAAAAATCATGAAAAAAGAAAAAAAATAATTTCACTGGAGAGGATAAACAATAATAGACTGAAAACTATAGAAATATGTTCTAATAATTACTCCAACATACTTTAAAAGTCTCTGAAAAAAACTTATGGGACAATAATTGACAGATGGGATTCGTGAAGCTAATCTGTATTAAAAGTTTCCTATAACCCTGCTGTAACTTGACATGAGTTTCTCCAAAGTGAAGCAGTTTCACAACTGCAGCTGGGATCACCATGACAAAGATTAATTCTTCGAAGCACAGGAAACCCCCAGCATTGAGCACCAGGGAAAAGCTCTCCATTTTTAAATACAGACCACGTTTCACTGACTTCAAACACTTATAAGAAGAACAACAGCTGTCAAACACTGTCAGTTAGTCCTACTCTGGTACTCGTATTTTATACTCAAATTAGCTTTTGTTTAAATTTCAACGAGAAAAAAAAAAGCACAGAGAATAAGCATAAGATTAATACTGTTGCAGCTAGTTGGTTACCTTGGTATTCTTCTCCAAGTCGTGGTTAGGTGAAGTAGCAAGAAGTGGAATGTGAATATTAACGTTCACTGTGCAATCCAAAGCCAGCCAGCAAGCAGACACAGCACTCTGGTATTTCCAATCTGCTGGTTTAGCTGAACTCTAAAAGCAGGAATAAGCAATAAAGTGTTCCAATATAACACACTTTCACAGAAATCTTCTTGAATCATTCCTTGCAATGCATTAAAAGCTGCACAAGACAAGCAGCACGAGCTCACCTTTGGATCCTGTACATCATAAGTTCGGCAAACTATTCTTTGGTACTTAAAGAAAAAGATTTGATGAAAAGTAAAAAAACAAATAAGATTTTTTTTGTAATTATCTTTTCCCTTATATTAACTATTTTTGAGCTAATTTAAGCTCTGAAGAAAGCTCTCACTTCTCATTAAGTGTAAAAAAGTGGAAAAATATTTGGCTGTAAACTCCAAATAACGCAGTGATGATGTCTCATCTTCTACACACATATTAAGATCAATAGCTACGCACAGCAAGAAGCACCACTGCACTCATGTGTCATGTCCTGGTTTCTCTCACCCTTCTAAAAATCTCATTTTTTCTCCCTGTATTATCCCATTCTCAACAGAGGCCAGATTTTTCTTTCACATGAGCACACATCTCGCATGTTGGTGACTTCCCCAATTCCATGGCTATCACTGGTAGCTGCAAGGTCAAGAAATTATCCAATATTTTAGATGTTTTCCTTATTTTTAGGCACATCAAAGTAATCAGATAAAACATAGTGAAAAGCTAATACACTCAATCCTAACAGTAAAAACATATGGAAATTGTGGAGGAATAAGGCTGATGGTCTATTTTTACCTAAACAAAAATCTCCCTGATTCCAATTTATTAATTTATGCCTATCTGAACTCAAACAACTTCTTCCTCCCTACTTCGTCCACAACCCCAAAACTTCAGTTTGTATTCAAATTCTAGCAGAAAGGAAGAAAGGAAGAGCAGCTAAATCTGTCTATTGGTTATGAATGACTGGTTATACACATTTTCATCCGGCATCTTCTACATCCAGCAATTACTGCCAAATGTGGCACAGCCATTCATTTTCATCCACAGAAAATTCATTTCTAACATAGCCTTCTCTTCGAAAAGAACTACAGAAACTACATGGGGGTAGCAGCCCAAAACAACCCAGTTTCTTGAAAAAAGGATACTTCTTTGTAGTAGAACAAACTTGAAGAGCTGCTCTGTCTGAGACCTCATCTTCACCAGGTTTCCAGAGTCGCCTTTTCATCATAGACTTTTCCACTGAGAAGATGAGCTAAAGATGAAAAAAATATTATGGAATTTTCTATACAAGAAATGTGTTATAATTCTTCCTTGCACTGAAGTTCTAAAGCTGAATGATGAACTAGTAATACAGCTTATACCTTAAAAAGCCAGCTAAAGGAACTCTTAACATCTATTCAAAGGCAACCACTCCAAAGCAAAGTTGCCTGTGCAACATGAATTCATTTTCCTTGTAAACTGAAGCAAAAAAAATAATATTCACCTTGTACATTTCAAGTGTGTTTTTTTTACTTTGTGAAATTTTAGTCTTATGCTTAAAACTTGTGGCTCAGCGAAGACAGATGTGAAAAGAGTTCAGAAAAAACAGGAAAAAAATTACATTGTGCAACTGCTCATAACATGGACACTGTTCATCTGTTGTTGTCAGCTACTGGCTTCTACAATCAGAATTGAGACTTGATTATACTGCACTAGAAACATATCGAAGTGCTGAAATTGAATCCTGGGCCTAAGGCTTTACAGAGTTTGCATGTTAAAATTACTATGCTTAGCTCATAAAATAAAGTGAACCTCTACAGACATAACAGAAACCAAAAAAGCTACCATGTGGTAGATTCCACAGTATCAAAAATGTATTTTAATCCTATCAGTGGAATGTTCAAAATATTTTTTAAATGTAAGCGTTTAAGATAAATAATATTCTAGAGTACAGTCAAGAAAACAAAAATAAAGATCTCTTATTATCCTAAAACCACTGGTCTAAACAATTCAGTCAATCAAAAAACAATCATGCTTCAGCTACCATTAACAATTCTACCTCAAGGCTTAGTACAACCAGCACTAAAGGCATATCCTTAAGGCATATGCTCAAGTAAATACTACTGCAGAAGCAAACACCACAGAACCAGAAAGTTTGCTAATCCAGGCTGCAGTACAGTGCCAAAAGATACCAATTACTGAAGTTTCAACATGCACCAGTATTATAGAAATCATGCCAGAACATTTCTGTTGTTTTAATCCTAAAGCCAAAGCAATATATCAAAACAAGATGACAACAATGATAGAAAATCACGCAGTGAAACAAAAAAATCATTGACTCCAGGAAGCACGTTTACCTTGCGCAAAGCACTTTGACTGTCTTTTGCCAGTTCTGGAGTTGCAATAATAAACACACCGAGAACTAACAAGCCTCCAGGAAGCATTCGAGAAACCTTGACAAGAGAAATGCACATGCATTAGTAGGAATCACAGAATTCACTTTATCAATTGATACTCCATGACTTTCCAATAAAAGAATTATGCGTTTAGAACAAATGAAATAGGTACAAGTGTTTTCCACTGGCACCTTCCTCTGAAATAGTAGAGCAGAATATTTCACAACTTTTATCACTTAAGCACTCCGTTTTATCATAAACTCATAAAACAATAAATATCAATACTTTGGTTTAATGAAGGCATCATCGCTGTATCTCTTAATTTTTTTCTTCCCACCCCCTTTCTTAGCTCATACTGCAATACCTGGCTGGCATGTGCAGTTACCCACTCTTCATCAATGGATGCCAGCTTTGAAGGATTTATGTTGCTTTCATCTTGCTCTTCCTTTGGAGGTGTTCGAACAGCCCGAATTACATAGTCTCTTTGAGAGGAACACTGTAGAAGATAGCAATATAAACAAAGATAATAGAAGGTTAATATCAAGTTTGGGAATACTACATAAAATAGAGAGTAACTGTAACTGTCTGTTTTACAGAACACATAGTTAAACTCTATAATACAATATAATGATAATCTCTTATTTCTTTTCCCTTAAAAAGCAAAAATGTCTCCCTTTCATTGCCTTAAAGCACTGTTAAAAGGAAAATTGAATCTTTGAAACTTTCATTTCAACTTCTTGTATCGTGTACTTTTAAAAGAAAGGGCTTTAAAAGGTTTTCTAATAATGAAGTTCTACTTTGCTGAAGCCCTCTCCAGTCAAAGCACTCTTCTCCTGCTTTATACAAGCTCAGTGTGATGCTAGTAGACTTGAACCTAAATGATAAAAGCCAGTGGAGCTGTCTCTTGCTAGGAGAAGGAACAGAATTCTTCGTAACACAAACTCACCTGTCCTATTAGCAGGCCTGTGACATAAGGCTTTAGTTTTGCACTGAGGTCTGAGAGATATTGCCCAACAGCCTCCTCAACAATGTAAGTTCTACCCATTACTGCAGGCTTAAAGACTGTAGCTTTAACCTATAAAGCAAAATAAATAAATCAATAAATAAAGTTAAAGAATGTACATATGCTACCTTGACTATCCAAAAAAGAAAAGTCTCAGAGAAAGTGCCTAAGCACATGTTTGTAATCGTTATGAAACATTTAATTAGTTAAGTAGATTAAAAACCTTCAAGATTTTTATAAAATGAAAATACAGTTACTCTATAGTACAGGAAAAAAAAATCATTTTAGCTATATTTGAGAAAAAAAATTAAAAAAAGACGGAACAGCTGTCAAGTCAAACAATCCAAGGCTAAGAAAAACATGCTTTCAATGAAGAATTGTTTGCTCCATCACCTTTCACCAGCAGCCAGTCAGTAAACCGTTCATTTC